GATTATCATTATTTTCAAAGGTCATAATTGTTTTTCATTCTTCTTGCGAGAAACCTCCTACCGACGCACCCAACGTACGACAAAAAGTTGAAACAGAAAGACAAGTTTTTTGCTATTCTCATATTTACATTTAACTAATTTTAATGTAGCTTTTTTTTTCGTGTTGGTTTGGTTATAATTATGTCGTACATTACTTCACACTTCTTAACTCAAAAAAACAACAAAACAATATTATGACTATAAAAAAGTTTTAAAATATTTCCATAAAAAAAAAACAATATATGTGAACAAATACAACATACGCTATAAAATAAACTGCAACAACTTATGACAAATTTTTAAAGTAGTTTTACACCGGGTGTTAGACCGCCGTGCGTGCACGGCGTGAGCAAATCTAGTATATATATATATATAGGTAAGGGATCATATGAGAATGATTCCTAGTGAAAGAAATAAGAATGAATCTCTACCATTAGATGCAACATATTAGTGGACATGATCAAGTCAAATATTAAATATTCTAGTCAAACATTGATGGCGATTTTGTAAATAAGTGTACATTATGTGGTCAAATGTACACATTTGACCATTAATTAAGGGTAAAAGTGACATTATATATTTATCTATGGACCCACCACTAACATTACTACCATTATCTCTCTCTCACACAGTACACCTAAAACACACACCCACCCTCACACGCTGCGCACACACAGACACACACAAACACACACAAACACACACTACACACACCTTGCACACACACAATACGCAGGCCATCAGCCCGTCGCCGCCGCCACACCTGCCACCAGCCAGTCGCCGCCACCACCTGCCGCCACCTGCCTCGCCGGCGCATCCATCGGAGATTCCATGTCTAGATCTACAACCGTCAGCCGAAAAAAGGTTGTGCCACCATGACGGCCGGCGTCGACTCTGCCCAATGTTCACGCCGGTTGGACGAAATCTCAGCCTTCGTCTGCCAATCATTGTCGTCTACCTCCTGTTCACGCTGCCACCGGCGAAGCACCCGTCGTCCGCCACTTTAAGAAGGCGGAATTTCTGGTCCGTTTTCCGTGCGCCGGTCAGGATGCCGGCGAATGTCGACGGATTACGTCACTGGCCGACGTTAACTGCTGGCATCACCGTGAGTTTGGAGATATGGCAGCAATTGGTGGAGGTTTTAGATTTGGGTGTGTTATTGAGAATTTGATTAGATGTAGGGACTTGATTGTAATTATATAAACATTTAATATATCACAATTGAGGACATGGGTTAAATGTGTAATTAGTAAAAGATATAATTATTGTGTTAATAATTAGGCTTCCTATATTGTCTTTAGAAGATTTTGTGCAATATGTTAAGCATTTACGTGCAACCTATATAACCTTAAAGGGCAATCACAATACATAAAAATATAGACTTAAAAAATATTATTAATTTTCATAAAAGTATAAATAAAATAAATTTGGTAATATTTTTTATATAGTTTAACATGTCTGGTTAGTTTGTTTATTTTAAAAAATTAAAATTTGACTTTTATCCAACTAATATTATTCGATCGTTTAACATAATAACTGTAATTTTGTTAGATGCAGCGTGTCATTTTAAGGTGCAACATGTTGTGCTATAAAGTGTAATGTAATGTTGTATAAAGTGCAACATATTAATCCGACTTTTTATCCAACTAATATTTGGTTAGTTTATTTATTTAAAAAGTATAAATAAAATAAAATTGGTAATACTTTTTATATACTTTAACATGTTTGGTTAGTTTGTTTATTTAAAAAAAATAAATTAAAATCCGACTTTTATCCAACTAATATTATTAGATCGATTAGCATAATTACTGTAATTTTGTTAGATGTAGCGTGTCGTTTTAAGGTGCAACATGTTGTGCTATAAAGTGCAATGTAATGCTGTATAAAGTGCAACATATTAATATATACGGTGCAATAATTAAATTTTGATACTTTAGTATGCATGTGTTTGTTTTTTTTTATGAGAAAGCTATTAAAATATAATGTAGATCCGTTTTATGAGTTTATATCGACTAATTTTTTGGTGACAGATGTTGACGTTAATTGTAGATTGTTTTGATAAAGTGCAATGTGTTGTTTTATAAAGTGCATCATTATGCTATATAAAGTGCGCTAATTTATACATTTCTATATAAATTATATGTATTGAAATTTAAATTTAATATATATAATTGTACATCAAATTAACTTAAATAATTAAAATTTTATTTATCATTTATTATATAATTTATTTATTATCATAATTTATTTTTTATATTAGTTAAGAGATCAAAATATGAAAATCCACAACCCCACTACGGGTGTTCCTAGGAAATGCAGCAAGCATTTGAGAATTTTATATAAAGAAATTGCAAATAGGCCCTTTAACATTATCTAATTCATAAAAAAAAATAAAATCAAATTAAAGCTAAATCACAGAATTTTGGGGCCTGAGATTTAGTTGCAGAGACTTCCGCCATGGTCGGCCCGTGCGTCTGTATTGCCGACGAGTACTGATATTCGCTCAACAGCGACTGAGACGCCGTCGTGAGGGTCGCTACGACGTCGCCGTGAGCGTTCTGCATCCGGTCAATCGCAACCACTGCTGGCCGCCAAAAGCAGAGTGCAGTGCGTCAATTTAATTCGGGTTCGTCGGCGATATCTGGCCTTTGGTTGGCCGCGACAGTGGAGTCGGCGATATCCGGTTGTTGGATGGTTGCGGCTGTGACCGGCGTGCGACAGAGCTTCTCGATGTAGGAGACGTCGGAGACCTGTGTGTGTGGGTGTGGCGAGTCGTGTGTGTGTGTGACGGGGTTGAGACAGTCTAAGGAGCGGCGGCGGCGGACGGCGAGTTGCTGGCGGCGGGCGATGGCGGTCCTGGCGGAGAGTTCCCGACAGCGTGTTGTGTGTGTATTGTGTGTGTCAGTGTGTGTGAGAGGGTGTAGGGTATGGTGGGGTGGGGTGGAGTGGGATTGGGTGGCTAATTAATGGGGTAGTTTGGCAGGTTTATAAAACGTGTATTAATATGTAATGGGGCCCATTTATTTGGGGATGTGTGAAAAATTACCACATTACCCTTAATGAAGATATAATTTTAATTTTTTTATTAGCCATTAGATCGAATGATCTAATGGCCACCATGTATTCTTATTTCTTTCACTAGGATTCATTCTCACTGGAACCCAACCCTATATATATATATATATATATATATATATATATATATATATTCTAGCAACAAATTTAATAAAACTCTTTAAGTTTTCCCCCCATTTTTCGTTACTTTTGATTTAATTAAGCATTTATATTTTTTTTTATTATATAACAATCACTACTAATAAACTATAAAGTCACATCAAATAATATTATAATGTAAAACTTTTTTTTCAAACTATTCATTTTAATATTATTATTATTATTATTATTATTATTATTATTATTATTATTATTATTATTATTATT